GTCATAGAGCAGGTGAATATGATCAAAGAACATTATATTCATTATAGAAGTGTCATGATGAAACCCCTTACACATAAAGTCAATAAACAGCAAATAAAAAGGAAATATTATATCTATACCGTAAGTATGCACAATTACTTTGTGTCAATTAAAATAAAAAAATTTTTAAAGTTAGGTCTTAACTCTACATTCTGGTTTTATGAATTGAGTAAATTATTTATCTTAAGGTAAATCATTCACCTATAAAATGGTAACAAATAGTTCTACTGACAAATATTTGGGGAATTAAATGTGATGATCAAAAATATATGCAAAGTTGGCATTTCCTAAATAGAAGTTCTCATTCCCATCAATTTTAATATTAAGTGGTCATTCTAAAAGAGTCACAGAGTACCCAGATATTTACATATCAGAATAATAAGTTGTCATAAAAGATTGTTTTCCTTGTAGCAAATGACTGAGTTAGCTATTCAGAGGCAAGCATTATTTTCACTGGTAAAAAGAGAGCACTTTCGTTCTGTAAGAACCTCCTTCAGGGATGGGCCCCATGCTAGGATAAAAGAGTAAAGCTTTCTGCATTCATTGACTCTTTGGGATGCATTTAGCACCTTTCTCAAGTGTATTAGGATGAAATAGATTTGTACATTGATCTGAGAAGCTGCACAATTAATTTTTACACAGGGTAATGTATTTTGAACTTCAAAAAACTTTTTTATGAAGACTTGTAGAAAACTAGCTGATTTATAAATGGGCAATTCTATAATAATCATATACATCTACATTTGCACAATGGTGTTTTATATTTTAAGAAGCATAAACTGATCCCAAAAAAGGAAATGTTTGAAGTTCCTAGATAAAATGATAAAGGGCATATGGTTGAAGATGAAACAACCAAGTGGCTGGCTTTCAGGGAAGGCTTTTCTAGGAAAAAAGAGGATCCCTTACAGGGATAGGGGTCTCATAATACTTTTGCTTAAATCATCCTTGAACTCGTGTATATGAAAATAACTAAGGAACTGAATAATTGAACCCTGATCATTAGCAATTCTTTCTGCCTTACATATTTTTTCAAAGTGTGTATCTTTCAGTCTGCAAGACTGTAGAAAACAGTCACAAAATCATTTGGTTATTACCATGTTTCTTTAACAACATCTTTTTAAAAAACTACCATAAATACATCCTTTTAAACACTAAATAATAAAATTTAATGAAGCTATAGTAGATATGATGAATTGGACTTCACAGAGATTATAAATTGTATTTTTAAAAATAAGGATCATCTGTAATTGTTTTTTCCTAAAAAGAACTGAGAGTGCCAAATAGTTCATGATTGGGGATTACCTCCAGCTCTCTTTCCATTCTAATTTCCAAGAGTTCACTTTGTATTCCTAAAATTATTACTTAAACAAAATATCCTCTACTGTTCTTTTTATTCTGTGGCTGGCATAGAACTCTCTTTTCATGGAATAGATCCCTAATTACTATCCCTACAAAAAATGAAGATTTAACTTTCACATGCTTTTTTGAAGGCTACAGTTTTCATCCATTTCCATGTGGATGGAAAGTCATAATATTTTTAGTTGTGATAGAAAGAATTCTAAAATAACCTCAAAGATCCTGGTCCTCTGGTATACAAATACCTTCCCCAGTTACTGAATCAAACACTAATCTAAATGCTGCCGTAAGGGGGATTTGAAGATGTTATTAAGGTCCCAAATCAGTTGACTTGAAGAGAGGGAGGTTATCCTAGTAGTTCTAATCTAATCAGGTGATGGCTTTTCCTAGAGACATTTTTAGTTCAAGAAGAGATTTGATGTGTGGAACATTCTCTACTGCTTGCTTTTAAAATGGGGAAGCCCTTGGCAAGAAATGGATGGCATCTAAGAGCCAAAAGAGGCCTCTGACTCTGGTAGCAAAAGAACAAAGACCTCCATTCAACATCAAAGAACTGAGTTCTTCCTAACACTTGAGTGAACTTGGAAGAGATCACAAATCTCAGATGAGAAAAGCAGCCCCAACCAATGCCTTGATTTCAACTGTGTCAGATCTTGAGCAAAGAACCCAAGCATACCAAATAGAGAATTGTACCCTAATAAATGGCCATTGCTTTAAGCTTCTAAATTTGTCATAATTGGTAATTAGTTACATAGCAATAGATAATTAATACACCCATGTTTGTTCTATAGGCATAAATAAAACAGGTAAAAATGCCTGAACAAAATGGTGTATCTCTACTATAGACTAGATTCCAAAAGGTTTTACCAAGTGTATTGCTTTTCAAAGGTGAATCAACATTAAACAAATGACTAATACAGTCTCTCCAGAATGGAAAAATCCTGATATATTGTTGCTTTCATGAATTGCTTGTTTATATCCATAAAAGTTGCTAGGAAATTGAAAATTTGTTCATATAGGATTAAGTAGCTCCAGCTTTTGTGATTTGATGTTGTGCATGGATTGCATTCCTCAAAGGTTTTCTCAAAAGGATAAATGCTACAAATGACAAATCTTCACCCTGGTTTGTTGGTCATCAATTTCTCCCAGATGTTCACAGCCCTTTCTGTGAGATTTGAAGAGGAGACAGTATAGCACTTGAGCAGTATGTCAGTGGGGTGAACTCTTCTGCTTGTGATTCCAAGACTCAGTCTATAACTGTACGAGTTACTAGGGCATGGTTTTCTACAGTCCATTTTCTCCCTTTGTTCTATACAGAGAAACTGTACGATGATGGTGAGACAGACTTCACAGATTATAAATGTTCTTGAGTTCTAGGCTTTCTTCTTTCGGCCACTTTTGTTTTCCAGTGACTTGGAACCACACACATAGGATTCTCTGAAACAATGAAAGATCCAACAAGTAGAAAATATATGAGTGAGAGTGAATGAGTGAGTGAACAGAAGAACATGCCAATGACAAATGTACTCAAGAATTCAAATGCAATGGAAAGGCAGTCTGGCACTGAGAATAAGTTTATGCTCCAGAAATTAGAAGATCTGACTTTGAGAAAATAAATTCTATTGTATGCCAAAAATTACTTACTATCTCTGAACTTCCTCTTTTGGAAAGTGCTTAAATGATGCTAAATCATCTCTAAAGTTTCTTTCACTTCTGACACTTAAGAGGTGAAACAATATCTTACCCCATGGACTTTCTGTTTTATTGTTAAATTTGAGTGTATTGGTTCTTGTCCATTAAAGGACACAATGAATTTTTATAGTCAGTTCTCTAGATTCTATTTAATCAGTAAATGTTCATATGCTTAGTATTTTCCAAACCCAACAGAATTCAAGTCCCTCAAGTTTTACTAGGTTTATTGGATAAATGTATTATTTATGCCAAAACTAATATTTTCTTTATTTCTTTATTGTATTGTTGTGCTGGGTAGGGGTACATTGTGGCATTTACAAATATCCTTACAATAAATAAAATATATTTGAATTCACCCCCTCCACTATTCTCCATTATTCCCTCTTCCTGCCCCCGCCCCCAACTCTTTCCTGGAATAGTTTCAAACAAAACTACCATTTTCTTAACTATTTACACCCAACAGTTTAGATCTTTTCTTCTGGCATGTATATATAAAAATGCTTTTATAATCAAAAGAAAATTTTCTTGTAAATTACTCACTATTTATTAAAAGCTTACTTGACACAAAGCATTGCAATAAATCTTGGGAAGGAAATATGAGGAATATCTTTTGCTCCCCCAAAATTTTGGTTAACAGGATAGACATATGAACAGATAAACTACTAAGATGAGTAAACAAAGTTCACTATCATTGTAAGTTGTAAAGACAGAGAACTAGAGCTAGATGACCTAGGCCCTCCTCAGCCAATGACTCTAACAAATCAGATATCCTCTCTCTCAGCTTCTGTTATTTCATATGTAAGGCTGGTGTAATGCCTGCTTGATTTATAAGGTTCTTAACTCTGTACCAGGCACCTTATTAAGTTTCAATGGTAAAAGATGAACAAGACTAGTCTAGCGCATTGAGAAGTTCTAGTGAACTGTATGTAGGTTAGCATTCATGCAAACCAAGTACTTGATACAATGTATTGAGCACAGTTGTTGATCAAAAGGTGCTAGAAGAAAAGCGATTATTTTTTCTTCAGAAATAGTCTCTATTCCTGGTGTGAGGCAATATAAAGTACACAGTGCCACATCAGAAGCATTCTTGCCAAATGAATTTAATCAAAATCTAATCAAGGCTTTAAATCTAAATTCCAGCTTACAAGAAATGTAGGAGATAGAACAACTAGTTAATAGATACCAAATAAAAGCATTGTACAAGTCCAGAAGGTCGGAGAATTCTAAAGACTCACTTGATCTCTTCAATAAGCCAATGTGTAATGAGAACAATAAACCAAAATCAAAGACGGATTGGGTATTAGAAGATATCAGAGAAATACTCTAAACTTCCAACCCACTATGTCAGAAATATCTTCATTGTTTATATGATTGGATAAAAAGTCATGATGTTATATTTCATAATATAATGCAGGGATTCAAAATGAAGAACTAAATGCAGCAAAATATTGTTAACAACTAATAAAATTAGGTGATGAACATATGAGTGTTTAATGATACCATTCTAATTTTCTATGTATCCAAAAACTTACATAATAAAGATTTAAACACAAAACAAACTACATATGATAGCATATTTGAAATCACTTTGTAAATTCTAAAAGGATAGACAAATAAAAGGGATAACAGAACATTGGAAAAAGGAGAAATGGTCCTTTTTCAAGCACATATACTACCTTGGGCCCACTGCAAGAGCAGTCAAGTCTAGCCACCAAAGAAGGACCACCAGAAACCAAAGACAATATTATAATTTCCAGGTCCTGATCTTTTTAATACATCCTCCTTTGGTTAAGGTGACCTTAACAAAAATGTGGGACAAATGAAAAGAAGGCTACAGCAAAGTAAATTTATACAAGAACTAAAAACCTGTAACTCTTGATGTGAGTGTAACCAGCAGGATTTCCTTTTTGTAGGGCAACAGCATTTGGCACCCAAAACAGAGATCTGAAGCCATGGATGATGGCTTTTCTCATGGTGTTATCACTGACAGTGGTGGCAGCAACTGTCAGTCTTCTGGTTTACTTCTTAGTCTCTGGTAAGTAAAAGCAAGGATTTTGCTTCCTGTAAGGATTTATTTGCTATATGTAAATGAAATTCATGTTTTTACCTATGATTGTCCCTATTCAAAATATTTTGAAATTTATCCAGCCATTTCATTCACAATTAGTTAATGGGCTGCTATTACATACAAATACTTTTCTAGGGATGCAGAATACAACTGCATCAAGACAAATAAACAAATTTCCTATCTTCTTAGAGCACCCAATATAGTACTCTTTTGGCAATCTACATAAAATATTAAAAGTAATCATTGTCTGTAATGTAATAGTTGTCATGCTAAGCAACTCTCATCATTCCTCATAGATTGAAATGAAAAACTGTTAGTAAACTAGATACTTTTAAATTTAATTTAATTTTGTCTCTTTTACTCATGATCATCTTTTCTGCCCACCAGCACTTCTTGGAAAAAAAAAAGCACATATTTAATGAAAGAATGAATTTTAAAATAGTGGATAAACTATGACACAATATTATCACTTATTTTTCGAGAACAAATGTACTTTTCCAAAACAATATTAAAGAATTATATTTTATTGCCTGGCATATTTATAATTACACACATAAATTCTTTTTTCTCTTGGTGCAGAATATAAATCACTTACATTTTTGATGAATCTCTACAGTATCATTCTCACATGACATATGTGACAAAATGACTAGTTTGAGATTCTTACTTGAGTGGTCTTACCTGCTGTCAACTTCAACAGACTTCATGCGGAAGTGACTCCTCTATTAAGAGACTAAAAGGGGTTAAGACCATATTCCAGGGCCTCACATGAAAACTCCAAATATAGTTTACACTGATGGCAAAAGATTCTCACTTCATTTTTGCCCAAAAGCCCCTTTATTATAAGAGTAAGTTTTGAAAACAGCATAGATTATATTAAATAAGTAAATGGGCACCAAAAAAAGGGTCTGGAGATATTCATGTAGGAGACAATTTGCCCTGAGATCTCACTTTCTTTCCTAGGTTCATAGTCAAGAAACTCATTGCTTTCTACCTCAGCCAGGCTGCCCAAAAGAACCAGGTTGCTCCATTCTCTATCAGTAATTCATTATGACTCTCTTGTGCTCGCTAGACCTTAGTCCTAAAATGACCAAATTCTTCACTCTTTTTTTCCCTTTCTTTACAGCCAAGGAGTGGCTCAATTGACTTATTCCCGTTGCACACTGTTCTCACCTGCAACCTGAAAGCCTTTTCCTTAGCCTTTCTTTTTATGTTTTTCTTATGAAAAACATATGAGAGATCTGTATCTCTCATAACAAGTAAAAATTTACAAGAATATTTGTTTATGTCTACTTACAGTGGAAGTGTATGTTGTATTCTGTAGGGCTCAGAACTTGGATAGATCACCTATTAGTTGTATAACAAAGCAAGTAACTGTCTTATTTTCCTCATCTATAAAATGGAGGTGATGTCAATCTTAGAAAGCTGGTGTGAGGATCAAATAATACATCAAAACACACATAACAGTGCTGTGCATGCAGTAGATAATAAATGTCTATTACTGACTTCAAGTCTTGTTATTTTTATTATATTTTTATAAAATTCAGTTAGAAAAAGTTTAGAGATATACTTAACATTTCATATTGGCCCCACTATTGTTAAGTCTTTGATCCTGAAATCTTTGCCCAAATCATTTAATTTTCTACTTTTCTTTTTCATCATAGGTCAGAAAATGGAATATTATCATGGCACCTTTAAAATTTCACATCCTCTAGACAATAACAATTCTGGACAAAAGAACACATACCAATTTAAGGAATTACAGGAGATAAGTGAAATTTTGGTAAGCTGGGTAAAATTCTTGTTATCATAGAATAATAGTGGAAAGAATTTTATGGATCATTTTCCTTATTTCCAAAAACATGATTTTGAGACCACCTGCATCAGAGTGACTAATCTTGTAGATTTCTAGGCTCTACTAAATCAGTATCTGATGGGACAAGTAGGTGGAGACAGAAGTGTATGAGAATTTGTCCATTTAATAAATGAGTGATTCTGAGACACCACTGCTTTTTTTTTGGTGTGCATTTGGTTTAATGGAAATGAGTTTTTTTATTATTTTATTATTCATATGTGCATACAAGGATTGGGTCATTTCTCCCCCCTGCCCCCACCCCCTCGCTTATCACCCAGTCCACCCCCTCCCTCTCTCCCTCACCCCCTCAATACCCGGCAGAAACTATTTTGCACTTATCTCTAATTTTGTTGAAGAGAGAGTATAAGCAATAATATGAAGGAACAAGGGTTTTTTGCTGGTTGAGATAAGGATACCTATACAGGGCGTTGACTCACATTAATTTCCAGTGCGTGTGTGTTACCTTCTAGGTTAATTCTTTTTGATCTAACCTTTTCTCTAGTTCCTGGTCCCCTTTTCCTATTGGCCTCTGTTGCTTTTAGGGTATCTGCTTTAGTTTCTCTGCATTAAGGGCAACAAATGCTAGCTAATTTTTTAGGTGTCTTACCTATCCTCACCCCTCCCTTGTGTGCTCTCGCTTTTATCATGTGCTCAAAGTCCAGTCCCCTTGTTGTGTTTGCCCTTGATCTAATGTCCACATATGAGGGAGAACATACGATTTTTGGTCTTTTGGGCCAGGCTAACCACATTCAGAATGATGTTCTCCAATTCCATCCATTTACCAGCGAATGATAACATTTTGTTCTTCTTCATGGCTGCATAAAATTCCATTGTGTATAGATACCACATTTTCTTAATCCATTCGTCAGTGCTGGGGCATCTTGGCTGTTTCCATAACTTGGCTATTGTGAATAGTGCCACAATAAACATGGGTGTGCAGGTGCCTCTGGAGTAACCTGTGTCACAGTCTTTTGGGTGACACCACTGCTTCTAACTCTATCACCTCATTTAAAGATGACAGAATTGAGGCCAAGATATCCATGTCCATTGCTTCCCCAGTTTCAAAATAATATATACTAATTAGAAAAGCCTAACTCCACCAGAACTGGTTATTTTTAAGTCTACACCTTTTTTTGTAAGACAACATTTTAAGATTTAGAATATTTTTAAAGTACAAGGAAGGAAAGGCAACCAAAGAATATTTATTATACCTTGTGAATGAATAATTAAAAAGAAAATAATACAGACCAATTGTATACATTTCTGCTCAGATGCCCAAGAACCCTCACTCAAAACCAGCTCAGATTAACTTCCCTGACAAGGAAGCACAGAAGTACAGCCATTTTAAAAAGGAAAAAATAATAGACATATTGGTTGTTTCCCAAAACATTTCCTTTCTTTCTCAAATCATTGTAATTAATGTTTACAGATTAATATACACCCTTCCATTCTTTTACATTCAGGGCATCTTAGAAAATAGCATTTACAGTCCAATTCTTGAGGAAAGCCAGAGTGAATCTGTATCTATATATATTTATACACCAATACCTCCTCTACTTCTCTTACCCCAAGTGACTCCCCATAACTCCTTAATGTAAAAAAAAATCTAAATCTGCCTTACTTAAAAAAATTTTTAATAAAATGTTATCATTTATTGAGAAATCTGTTTTATTTAATTTTATGCCCAACATTTTGTTATTTTAAGTTAACTAAGAAATCCTGTCTTTAATAAAGTAAATGCACAAGAATGCAATTAGTCTTAGAGGAAGTGAGAGAAATACAAGGGTAAGTCTACAACATAAACTGTGTTTAAAAATGGACTTTTAAGCAGTTGTTAAGCATTTGTTTCTAGGAACGCAGGCACCTCAGAGACAGAGACAGAGTTAAATAATGACACATTCTCATCAAAATTACATGCATAGCCTGTTTTAGCTATCATTGCTTATTCTCTTCTTTCTACAGAATATAAACCTGTACTGCTATCCCTGCAGGCCATCATTCTGTGTTCCATGATTGTTCTTTTGTTTATATTCATTCTTATAAAATATATTTTGTTTTAGTTGCATATGCTTCAAACTTATCTTTTGTGCTATGAATCACTTTTTTACATCCTTTTTAAACTCAGAATCTTTTTAAAGATCTATCCATGTTGATAAGTATACATCTAATTTATTGCTATTAACTGCTACATGATGATTCATGGTTTAAATCTGCCACGTCTTACCTGGTGTGTTTGCCTATCACCCCAAGAAATGCTGCTCTAATCAGACTTCTACTTATCCTCTTATGAATCCATGCAAGTCCTTCTGGGACAGAATTACTGGATCACTGGGTATGCATGTACTTAATTTCACTAATTGCTCTTAAGAATGGCTGAATCAGTATGCACTCCCATCTATATTGCATAAGCCTTCAGTCTCCACATCTTTGCCAACACATAGTGTCATAGATTATTCTAGTTGCTATAACAAAAATACCATAGAGTGAGTGACTTAAACAACAAATATTTATTTCAAAGACATCTAGAGTCTATGGAGATCAAAACACCAGCAGATCTGCTGTCTGGTAAGGGCCTGTTTCTTGGTTCATGGAACCATCTCCTGTGTGCTCACATGGTGGAAGAGGAACTCTCTTTCATAAGGGTCCACTTTCATGAACAAAGAACATCCCCCACCTCATGGGTTAGGATTAAAAAATATGAATTTGGGGAAGACAAGCATTCAGTCCATAGCACTTCATATTATTTGGCATTATTTTTCTTTTCTTGGTATTTGCCAATCTAATAGGTATAAAGTAATATCTTACTCATGACTTAATTTGAATTTTCTAATTATTAATGAATTTGTACATCATTTCCCATATATACTATCCTTTTGGACTTTAATTTCTATAAACTTCCTGTATGTATTCTTGTCTATTTTCTGTTTTTTATTTGAACCTTCATGTTGCTTTGCAGGAGTTCCTTATATTTATTGATGGTGTGTTGGTTGTACACACTGCACTTATCCATTCTGTCTTCTACTTATAACTGTTTTGAAAGTTCTTTGTGGAAGTTCTCCCCTCCTTATAAGTCATAAAATATTTTATTATATTTTTATCTATTAGCTTTATAATTTGACTTTTATATAATGGGTCTTCATTGAATCTATAGAACACTTTTAAAAGTGATATTAAGTTTTTAGACCCCATATAATGAGCTGGTTTTCAAATTTAACCAACTAAATGATTTAAGCTTTTCCCAATATATGGCGTAATTATTAAACTCACTGCATTTCTGGCCACCTGGATCTTACATAAAAGGAAATATGATCTGTCTTCTCAAATTGCTACCAATCTCTATGGAGAGATGTGAGTAACACATGAGAAATTGAATAGTGTGACATGATATAATTAGGGATTAAACTGTACATTGAGGACAATATATATAAGAAGATCATCAAAGAAAGAGAAAATCAGGGTTCCCAAAGGAAAAGTTCTGTGTTATTTTACTTTTGTTGAAACGAGGCAGGTGTTTGTTGCATCCACCACCACCACCAAGTTTGCTTTAGAAGAATTACAGGAAGTGTTCATGCCTCATCTAGAGCCACTCCTGCCTATTATTGCTAAATCCTAATGAGTAGCACCAGACTCTTTTCTCTTTCCTCTATGGGTACTAATTAGATTGCCCAGAAGGACAGGTTGCAAATCCTGTTCATCTTCATAATTTTGGCTTTCCTGATTTGAATCCAAATGGAGATGCAGAAGTAAAATGAGTTCATGCTCAGATACTGCTAAAACTCATCTTAGTTCCCTGAGATAGCAAGACAGACATAGCTCTTCTCTCATATCATCTGTCAGAGAAGATCTCAGTAACCAATAAAGATGCAACTTGACTTATGATCAGATTATCTACTGGTAAACCCATAATAAATTGAAAGCACCATAAACTAAAACTGCATTTAATACACCTAAACTTACCAAACATCAGAGTCTAGCCCAGGCTCTTAAACCTGTCCAGATTACCTCCATGAGTTTACAGCTGGGCAAAATCATCTAACACAAAGCCTACTTAATAATAAAGTGTTGATGTTCCATGTAGTTTACTGAATATCTGTATTCAAAAATACTAAAACACAGTACATTGTAAAGTATTACTGCCCAGCATTGCAAGAGGGTATCCTACCACATATTGCTAGCCCAGGAAAAGATCAAATTTCAAAGTACAGTTTCTACTAAATGTAGCTTTCACACCATTGTAAAGTCAAAAATCATAACCCATAATCAGTGATACTTCCAAATAGATCACTTTCATTATTACTCAAATTTTGTGAGTTTGAGTAGAGTCACTGATTGAGGTGTACTTCACTTAGAGAATATATTTCAGAAATACCAAAAACCATTTAAAATCATAGGGTCATTGCAAACGTGAAGGTTAGAAACTTGTAATAACATAATAATGGTAACAAATAATAGTGATAACTAATATATTGAACACCAAGCACTACACTGAGCACATTACACATATTATTCTACTTTAGTACTCAACAGCAAACTTATAAGGGAGACAGAATTACTAACCCAATTTTGCAGATGAGAGATCAAGGTAAAGAAAGGTTAATTTTTTTCTGGGCCATACAGCTACTAAATGACAGTATTTGAGATCACAATTCTGATTTGAGACTCCATGCTTTTAATAAATTTCTATCCCCCATGAGGCTTCTTAGCCAAAAGAATCCATCTGTATGATTTTACTTCCCATCTACCCTCCACAAAATTCCAGAAGTATTTCTTCCTGATACACTATTCTCTTTCAATTATTCTGTTTACATGAGACAGCAACCAACTATGGAAATACTTGGAATTTTCTTAGGATTTCTGCCCCCCTGCCCCAACAGCCAAAAAAACCTATTCCTATGCTCAAGAAAGTTCTAACTTTTATCTTCTTTGCA